CTGAACCCTAAACCCTAAACTCAAATGTTCTGAACGTTCCTTTTGGTTTGGGCAGTAGGGGACCTTGGGTTCCACAACTCTTCGGCGAGAGGGCCTGGAGGCTCTTGGGGTTTCGTGGGGTTTGGGGTCTAGGGTTTAGGGGTTTAGGGTTTAGGGTTTAGGGTTTAGGGTCTATGGTCTACGGGTTTAGGGTTTAGGGTTTAGGGTTTAGGGTCTAGGGTTTAGGGGTTTAGGGTTTAGGGTTTAGGGTCTAGGGTTTGGGGGTTTCGGGTCTAGGGTTTAGGGGTTTAGGGTTTAGGGGTTTAGGGTTTAGGGTGGGGTTTGGAACTTTAACAATCGTAGGTGATGACTTATGGCCCCTGAATCATGGGGGTTTCTACCCTTCAAAATAGAAAACAGATCCCAAACCCTAAATCCGAAAACCTCATTATGGAATTGCTCTTAAACTGGGACCCCTAGCTCTTTGAAACTGCGACATGCCACAGTTGCAATGAGTCCGGTAGTATAGGGGCCTTAATAATGATCTATACTATGATGTTGGGGGCTCCTTAGTATAATTATAGTACAATATACACCCAAACCCTATTCTAAACCCTAACCCCTAAACCCTAAAATACCCCAAAACCCTGTTCTAAACCCTAAACCCTAAACCCCAAAACCCAAAACCCAAAACCATATTCTAATTATTCAGGCCCCTACATTAGATTCGGTGGCGAGTTCCGGGTCGAAGTTGAGGGTTTAGGGTCTTTGCTACTTTGGGGTAAAGTGGTTTAGGGTTTAGGGTCTCTGCTACTTTGGGGTATAGGGTTGAGGATTTAGGGTTTAGGGTTTCTGCTGCTTTGGGGTATAGGGTTTAGAGTTGAGGGTTTAGGGTTTCGGGTTGAGGGGCTTCGGGCAAGTGTCAAGTACTGACATCCGCATATCTCCCACAACATATTCACAAATGTCAGGGAGAGGGAGGGGGAGATACAATATATATATATATATACACACACGGTTTAAGGTTCAGGGTCTATTTATGGCTTAGGGTTATCTATGGTGACCCCCCATGTACCTACCTTTTTTCCTGTGTTTCCTGATTAGGTCTTGCCCACACAGTCCCAAAGCTGGAGATCGTTCTCTCACACACAGTCCTAAGGCCGCATATCTATATATATATATATATTTATTTATTTACATGTATGGTTCTATATACATATATATATATATAAATATAAATATAAATAAATAAATAATTATATATGTATATATATATATATATATCTGTCTATATACATACCGACCGAAATCCTTGCTGATCCCGTGTATACCCGATTTCAATAGGAGCGCAAGGCTTGAAATCTTCAGCCTTCGTAGTTATTGCCAGGTGCCATATCGACTGCAAGGTCTTCGCGGTGTACTCATGAACGAGTGGATGCAACAGGCGCCCGGTCTCAGTGGTTTTGGACTTGGGGTGCAAGATTAGGGCCTAGGGGCTGCGTCAAGAGCATCTGATGCTCTACGGCTCAATCTCGAAGAATGCAAGACCATGTTCCCGCAATACCACAGTACAACTTGGCTGCCCGGTGTCACTGGAAAGCTGCCGCTCCTTCGTGTTCCAGTCCGTGTGCGTTATACGGCTATGGTAGCCCGATATCTTAAAGCGCCACAGAGGAAAAATCCTGAACCCCACAAGATACAGTTTCGGTTGCCCCAAGGATGGGAATGGTAGCCTGTCATAGTACAAGGTTGTAGTTTAGGCCTCAGAGTTTAGGGTTTTGGTTTAGCAGAGGGTGCCACATCGGGGGTTTACATTCTAAATCGTGCCAGAGATCTGGGACTGAGGCAAATGTCTAGGCTATTTCCAAAGCTTGTGCAAGCATTTAAGGCCTCTAATACCTGTTCTAGAGCACGAGAGGACAGGACATGGCGGCCCTGCGGCATAGGCAAATATGCATGAGCTTGGCACATCACTTCGGCCTAAACCCTGCGCCCGAAATCCCAAAGCATAAACCCTAAGCCCACCATCCCATAGACCCTAAACCCATAATTGTGGCCCAGCAACTTGAAAAAACTGCCAAGAGCTGGGAAGGTCGTGATCCTGCAAATCACGAGCCCAAATAGCCGAATGGGTTTAGGATTTGCGGTTTAGGGGGCAGTGAGTCGTTCTGCTTAGGGCTGCCTAATATATGAGTAGTATGAAACTCCCGATGCCCTAGTCTAGTTCCGTGGGCCTCGATATTATGGGCCTTTCTTTTTTTTTTTTGGGGGGGGNNGGGGAGGGGGGTTGGCCTCTTCAGGTCATGTTCGCCCCAGACGCAAAAGCCGAAGATCACACACCGGCCAAACCGAAAAGACAAGATCCGTACACTCCCAGTACACTCCCAGTTTGAAACCCAGATGGTCAAAGCGGATATACGGCTTCAGTTGTTAAAGGGGTTTAGGGTTTAGGTGTTACTTTCGATCCCTTTGTGTATTTGTGCGGCCAGGCGTTTCTGTATCCCATCGCCTCCAGCATGAAGACGAGGCAGGCCTTCCCCAGACCCCAGTCCTGAGCTCTCAGGACTTGTGGATGTTTGGCTTAGGGATCCTGTATGGCAGGGTGCTACAAAGGTTCCTTTAAGTGGGTCTGCAAGGGCGCCATCAGGTTCTGTTCTGCAACATAGACGCATAGAGCCCTAAGGGTACAAAGGACCCAATGATTGGGTACCTGGGTTTCGGATAGTAGTTATTTAGGTGAGCATTTGGGAGAGTATACGATTATCCGGTACTGGGGCGTGTAGAACCTAAATGCCCTAAGCCCAAAGCTCAAAGCCCTACATTTTTGACCCTTGTAAGTTTGGAAATAAGCTCTACATGCTAAGCTGGTATATCTGGTGCGTCTTCAGTTCCAACTACAGACGAATATCTCACCGGTATGAAAAAACATTGTGTTCATTTTGGATCCAAGGGGCGTAGAGGTTTTCCCTTAAGCCAGTGCCCTAAAGGACCCCAGAAACATGGGGTTTCTGGCAGGGTTCCAAACCGTAAACCCTGCAACCCTAAACCCCAAACCCTGACATATTAAACATCCAAAGCCTTTGTTCTAGACTTCTAGAAACCTGGACACGACGCGTATGGAAACCCCTGAAAGTATCCTTTGTAGAAATTCCAGGAGTAAGCCTTCTAGAGGCCGAGGTCCCGGATCTGGGAGGCCGCCCGGTCAAGGGACGAAAGGAGGGACCCTTCAAGGGACCTTTGGGGTTACATAGGGGCTTAATTGAGGCTATATAAGGGGTATATAAGGGTTATATAGGGTATTAGGATTAGGGGTCCCTTCTAGGGTCCCTTAAAAGAGGCGACGGAGGAGCCGGGATTGTTGAGGCCTTTCACAACTTTCCATCCAGAGAGCTTCTCTTGGATATAACTACTTGCAGGATCACGGGACTTAGCAAGGTCGAACCCAAAAACGTTAAAGGCCCCAGGGTTCTACTTGGAGGATCATGGGACTTAGTGTTTAGGGTTTAGGGTTTAGGGTTTAGGGTTTAGGGGTTATAAGTTCCCTAATTGGGGTTCTAAGTATAGTTACCTTAGTTATTTCCCTACTTACTAAGTCCCATGATCCTTTAAGTAGAGTACCTTTTTGCCGCTTGTCTGTTAGGGTGCCCTTCTTAAAGCCGAAATAGTAGGAACAAGGGTACCCTTGTCATACCGGGACCGGGGCTAATCAGAAACCTAGTCTGATTTCAATGTATAATAGTAGTTCCTAGAGTTCCTCATTGTATGTATAGTATGAAGCTCCGATTAGAGCTATTAGTGGAGTACGCCCCAAAACCCTGGGTCAATTATCACGGTCGCCGGACCCTAAACTCCAAACGCTAAACCCTAAACCCTAAACAGTCTCTTAGAGTTCCTAAGCTCTGAACGCTGCCAAATTGGAATTAGCAACTGAACCGTGAAGCCCGTGGAATGCCCTCAACACTGAAGCCGAAACCGTGAGCACAGCAAATCGCAAGGTCAACCTCCGCCTTGCTCATATACCACCTACCCAATTCGGTTAAGGTTGGGAGAAGAGCATCTGGTGTCCTTCACCTTCATGCTGGCCTCAGAGATCGTTCTTCCACCGAGGGCCCGCCTGGGGTATAGGGTTTAGGTCTAAGGGCTTTAGGGTGTAGGGTTCAGGGTTGATTGTTGTTGTTACTGCACTTTAGGTGTTTAGGGGCTCAGCAGGAGTACTTAAAACCCCAAGACCCTGAAAGCAACGACAAAGCGCTGAAGGGGAACTGCCGTCCAACCACTTCCTGATACTTCTGCTGCTCCGCTTTGAGGGAATTTAGCTTTTCGTTGGGGCCCCTTATCTTCCGACAGAAGATCCCATTCCGAAGGCCCACAGGCACCAAACTCACCAAACCCCAAACCCCTGAATCTTTGTCCGGCGTCCCGCGCTCAGTACAGCCTAAACTGGTCTCTTGCCAAGAAGATGAACTCCAAATAGCCATTAATTATAAGGAACGCAGGGTCTTCGCTAATTTTTCGGTAACCCTAAACCCTAAACCCTGAACCCTAAACCCTAAACCCTAAACCCAATTTATGAGAAGTCGCTGAGCCCCAGAGCAGATCTTATAAGCCTCAAAGCGGATGAAATAGTTCCAGAAAGCCCTGTTTAGTGTTTAGGGTTTAGTGTGTTCGGGGTTTAGGGTTTAGGGT